GGTAGGGCCTCTTGTGAATCCGCATGGGTAGGTACCACTACCCTGCCTATTTCTGCCGTGAAGCAGTAATGCGTTTCGGTTTAAATATATACTTGAGACCTTGGAACTTATATCTCAAAGTGGGTGACGCATTTACGTTGTAGATGTCTATGGGCTCCAGTAACCACTTAACACCATGTGGGCTGTGAGATCGTCCACCCATCAAAGCAATAAAAAAAAAACATTGACATCATGCTGCTCAGATCTACTGGATTCTTGCCACCTTCACACCTTTAGTAGTTCATCTAATACAACAGCACTTTTGATACCCCTATACACAGATCAAAAGTGAATAATGATGCCACCTTGATATTTAAGATTGATGTTATATTTTATTTGTATTATGGCAAAAACAAAAAGGGAAAAAAGAGGGAGGGTGAACCTTGCCACATTACCAAATTCTAAAGTGATATAATCTTTTTTCTTTGTTTAGTAAACTGACTATTAGGACTTCTTAGTACTCGAATCTTTAGACCCATTAGATTAATCAGGATCAAGAAATGATTACATTTATGTTTACTAGTATACTCACTATATTCATCAGCAGAAGCTGCAGGTGGATCTTGAAGATAGGAGCAGGTGAAACCGAGGGTGGTGTCTCCTCGGACTAGGTCAACCTCAAACTGAGGTTTGGAACGCATCTCAGAGAACTCTTGCTTCTCAGTCTGAACATCACCCTCAAAGTCATCAGAGTCCACAGTGTGATTCACGTTGAATGTGACACGAATTCTGAAATTTTTTTATAGTTAGAGTCCGTCAAAATTTCACATTTTTTATACATCTGTGGGCTTGTTTCTTTAGCTTTTCGAATTTCAACAGATTGACAAAGATTGCTTGACAGTAAAATAAGTATTTGGCAACATTTATTAACAAGTGTTTCCCCAAAAAAAATTTATTCAATATTTGTCCTTCTCAGAATTTCATTACTTACGTTTCATCTTTAAGCTGCTTTGTTAAAACAACTTCGGCCCCGTCTCCCTTTACAGTAAAGCCTTCTACTTCAGCAGGGAGAGTCTTGACCTTCTGTGCTTTGCGTTCAGCAACTATTTCTTCCGTCAGGAACTCTACCAGTTCTCTTTCACCTGAATTTATATAAATTGGTTTTATTATGTACATTGAGAACGAAAATATGTGCAATTTATTCTACAATACTGTAAAACATTCAATAAGTAGGTAATGAATTTTAATCAACAAAACAATTTTATAATACACAAACAAGGTATTTTTTTAATTTCTCTCATTTTACTACTATTTTATTAACTACAACAACTATATTAGATTTACATTACTCTTGATTATAATGATAAATAGTAATAACTGCAGATCAACAGAGAAAATCCAACTATTCTATTCAACACTATACTTCTTTATGCCTGTCAGAATATAAGTTAGTAGGATGTTAACATTTTTAGAGTAGAGAATAGTACTACAGATAGCGAGTTTGGATATAACTATTTCTTTGAATTAGTAACTACACCAACATGCAGCGTACACTGATCAAAGATCCTCACAGTACTAATTAAAGTTAAAATAATACTTTTCAAGGTTTTCTATTGGGGCTAGAAAATCAAGGGTGTTCTTTACAATATAAATAAATTGATGATTATCTGCAAATGAGCATTGCCTATTTGTAATGTCTGTCCTATTTAAGGATTTCAATTATTACATTTAATTGAATACCATTAGCAAATGGAATTATTTTTATGCTTTTTTTGCTCAACAAGATCCCACTAAACGTTCAACTACTACCTGTTCATAGATTTAAGAAAACTGTTAAGGAACGTTTGTGCAACAAGGCATATTATAAAGCTAAGGATTATTTACTAGATGGCACTACGTGGGAATGAGGCGCTCGCTCCTGGCCTTTTCATTTTTCATTATTATTATAATTTTTTTAATTGTATTTTTTTGACTTGTTTTTTCTTTTATTGTGAATATTTCTATTTATTTAAAAAAAAAGAAAATATTTGAGAAAAAGCAAAAAAAAAAGCCCGCTGAGTTTGTTTCGCCGGTTCTTCTCAGGACTGTGGCTTTTTTTGGAACCGGTGGTAGAGTTAACATTGTTATTTGTATTTTGACATTCAACAAGTGTGTCATACTGACATCTAAGTTGAAATAAATGATTTTGAATTTGAATTTGCTTAGATGGTAAATGTGCTCATAGACCACCAGATGTTAAGTGATTACAGAACTTACAGACATCACAACATAAATTCTGTCACCCACCTTGAAACATGAGCTTGTGATCTTAATTGATTTATTTAATGCCTTCAAACTTGAACACGTAACTGCTTAGTGATAGAAATACAGTGCTACAGTATTGCAAAACGTGCTATCACCATTATACATTGATATATTATTATGTATATTGGATATTGAAAAATTTATCCATGTTTATAATACATGTTATTAGGATGGATACATTGAAATAATCATTATTCTAAAAATGGTGAAATAGATTATTTTAAATTTTAAAATATAAATGTTATTCCTATTCTAAATTGAAAGAAAGAGCACACCCACACTAAAACTGGAAAGAATGTCACATACCTCTATGCAGGAATGAAAATCTTTAATTTCATTCCTGGATGAAAGTGTGTTTTTAATGTACCCTGCTTGATTCTAAGACCTTTCTGATTTTGAAAGGCCCAAGATAATTTTGCAGGGATGATTTTTTTAATTTTGAATAATTCTGTAAACTCCCAAATTTACCTCAATGACTAATTAATTTAATCTTCAATGTTATTGTTGTTACTAAATTGATTTGAATGAGCTAAACATTGGACCTACAGAATGTTGATGCATTTCAAACCCATACCCTGATTAATTGTCCCGTTTTGTTTCTGAATGAGAAGTCATCGTTTATTTGTATTGTATTAAAAAAAAATTATCCAATTGAATTGTTAGTGGGTACATTTGTTTTTTATATTACGCACCAGGTTTCTGAATTTTGCATTTAGTGCACAACCTGTGATGCAAGATGTGTTTTTTTCAAAAAGGCTAATGATCTGATGTAAGTACATAATATTAAAATATGATAAATTTTGTTCAGAGTATTAGTACTTTTTGGTGATGATCAAAATTTTATTTAATTTTATTCATATGTCCATATAATTTTAGTTTTGTTCAGTTCATCAATTTAACATGAAGCTAGTACCACCGCAGAACTTACTAGTTAAGGAATAGGATTAGGACTCACCAAGGGGCTTGGGTTTAATGGAGTGTTCGTCTTCTTTATCGGCTAGAAAACGCATTTAAAGTATTAAATTTGTCTAATGATTTCCCATTATTTCGTCATTTGTGTGCAACAAATTTGTTAGAAAAAATAATTTCCTTTTAAATTAACGTTAACAAATACCTTATTTTATTATTGGTGATACATTTAAAGACCAACGAAGCATGGTGTAATTATAACCTATAATGGAGATAGCCGGAAATTTAATACCTTTCGTGTGAAGCGCCTTCAACCCGCAGCCGCAGCTGCAAGTATTGGAATGGTTGTGTAGCAAGCTGGTGGAAGCCAGGGTCCCATCTAACCTTCGAGAGCAGCTCATGTGCCATATACCCCTAGTAAAGTCGCGTTTCACAGCCGTCTGTGTGCGACTAACCAACCCGCTTAAGTTCGCAGTTTTAACGCATGTTTGCAGCACTCTATGGGTCGCTTTAACTATGCCGCTCATTTTTCCTGCTTATTGAACTTAATGTTCACTTTTCTAGATTTTTTTACAAAACTTTAGTCAGGGTGAAAAAGTGAATGAGAATTGAGACCACAGACGACTTTAGTTGTTTCACGATTCGTCTATTGGAGGGGCAAAGGAATAGCCTATACAAGATTTTTGCTTCTGAAAAGCTGAAGTCAGTGCTTAAAAACTATAAATGAAATAATTATGGACATGAAATTGAATGAAATGAAATAGATTTAAATGAGAGGATGCAACATTTTAGGAGTTGGATGAGATGAATATATTTAACATAATATGGAACTGAATCTTCTGTTTCGTAAGGTGGAACCGTGTTTTTAAAGTTAAAATAAATATAAAGAAAAAACTGGTAGTAATATATGCGACATGCATGCATGGATAGATATCGACCTTTCCCTATTGTTGATACATGCCTATGCCAGTTTTGTTTCTCAAGGTGGGTGATGGCATTTCCTGAACTCATTCCCGGTCTGGCGCAATCGAATACTTTGTGTCAAATGGCGGGAGTCTGTAAATAATTTACTTAATTTAAATCAAATTATTTCTTTAATTTAAATCAAACTTTTTCATTCGCTCCGATATTTTTTTTCCTAACTAAGCTGAGCCTTGAGAGGCTATATCAGCATCGCCTTAACTAATAGGTGAGCTCACGGGGCTCAAACTTGATGATAGCAACGTCATCAAGTTTGAGCCCCGTGAACACGAACCCTAGCAAGAGCCATGCTTCACAGAATCTATCACCGGATCGGAAACGCGACCCACTGAGAAGATCCGTCGAGAAACTCAGTGGGCTGTGGCTATGTCTGAGGGTTAAACGCTTCGAGAGTTAATTGCATAAAACCAGCTGTTTTATTCTATTTCTGAACATTTGTGAAAGTGCACAAAAATGAAACAAATCCATTGAATGTAGTTTTTCGTGAAATGCGTTTTTCGGGTTCGGTATTTTTTTAAATTTAAACGTGATTTGCGGTTTAATCTCCCTTTTATTATTTTTATTTCACTACTGCTAACGTTTAAATGAGGTAAAATTAGATAAGACCATCACAAGTGATCATTTATCATTTCTGATGACACGAAATAACTTTTCAGTAAAATGACGAGTACATCTAGAGCCACTTGGACTTTTTTTAAACTCGATAAATTTTGTTAAATAGACTTTGGGTGTGTGTTACATAAGATAACGTACGGGCTACATTCCCCTTGCTAGCCCATTGGAACGATAAAAATTTAGCATAAGTTTTTGACAATTGACATTTAACAACTTGGACTTGGTTGGAACGTGTTTTTATTCAAGCTTTACAATATTAAACGCAATTTAAATTATAAATAGTTTGCAATGGCGAAAAAGCGAAAGATTATGTCAAAATTGAGCGACACACCTAAATCAGCACCGGTCGAAGTTGTCATAGAAGACGTAACAAATCACCCACTGTGTATGCACGGGCCAACACTATTATTTTCTAGCGAAAAAGGTCGATATTTCGCATGTTCGTCGTGCAGGAACAAAAAAGACTGCACAGTAAACATCAGCGAAGAAGACTGGCTGAAGGAGAACGTCAAGAAACGAAATGAAAAGTACTACAGCCTGATTCCAACGATCAATAAAAATCAAGCGTGGAATAACTTTGCGGAGGTTAGAATGTTTTCTACAGATTTCTGATTGCCGAGTTTGGTAATTGATAATTCGGAAGATATTTTAAAGTTGTTAAAAAGTAACGTTGGTAAAAAAAAGTTTCGGAATCAGGAATTTTGGGATAAAGTAGATGGTCACTTTGTCTGTCAAAAAAACTGATCAGAAAGTAAATAGTAGTGTATTAATAATGTAAAATTGTGACAAATACTTACTTTAAAAAAAAATAATGCCTTCACCAAACTAATTGTAATTTGGTACATAATTGCCACTGAGTTTTTTTAAGTGTTATGTTATGCTATGTGTAATGAGAGTTTTTATTGTTCATTCCATTCTTATATTATAAGAAAACATAAATCTCTTTTTTTGAATAGGTTAGATCAAGGCCAGTATCTGACCGGGCCTACTGCAACACATGCCAAGAACTGTACATAGTGTCAAGAACAAAAAAACATGGTAAAGACCACAGGGTCATCACTCCACTTATGGATGAGCAGCTCAAACAACCTTCATCATGGTTGCCATTATTAGAGAATGATGCAGTTGAAGCACAGTACTTGTTCACAAAGAAATCTGCCGGCACTGTGCTGGGTATACTCAAAAACAATAGCATAAGGTTTGTTTATTCTGCTAATAAACATTTTTTTTTCATTTAGGTAGACAATCATGTGGCCCACTTGATGATAAGTTGTTACCTTTGCTAATAGATTTGGGCAATGACAGGGGCACAGCCAAGCTGCTGTCTACTTCTGAGGACTCTGCAAACCTCATTTAAAGAAGAATATATTATGGCACTCTGTAAATACTGCGAAGGGTATTCATCCTAGAGTTGGATGGCATGTGGCAAAAAGTATCTGAACACAACTGTCAAGATAGTATGTGTGAACTCTGCTCTGGTAGTAGGAGGTGTGATAGTAACAAGGAAATTGTCTCTAACTTCAGAATGGGAGTATGGACAATCCAAATAGCCCACTTCTGTTTAGAGTCAAAAGGAAATAACTGATATTTGAGTGGTCTGGCTCTGACACTTTCACTCTCTTAAGGACTCCATATTGTAGAACCTAACTTGGCTTGAACAACTTGATCTAATATATAGTTTCAGATTAATGGATAGTTCATATTTAATAACTCTTATCAGCTTAAATCTATTTCATACCTAGAAACCAAATCTATTTCATACCTAGAAACCAATGTAGAAATATACCATATCAACCCTTGAAAGGCAAACGTGACTAAGCGACAATGCGTGAACTTTGCAGTAGACTAATTTAAAGTTGAAATACCTGAAAAAAAATATATTTTAACGAATCTAGCTGTAAGATTGAAATGATTTTAATAGACCTAGAAATATATTTTTTTGCACATCGAATATCATGGTTATTGCCTTTCATTTATGTACAAAGCAGTTATTGTCGCTTAGTCACGTTTGCCTTTCAAGCGTCGATATAATAAAAAAACTATTCAACAGAAATATCTTATGCATTGGAACTCCAACTGTTCATGAGGCAGCACAAGCCCACCCAGACTTTAACTCTATACTCCTGGACTACGACAAGAGATACCATGTGTTCCAGCCCCCTGATAAATACATATGGTACAACATGTTCAATAATTACATGTTCAATGCTAATGATGATGAAAAAGTACTAAAAAAGTTCTTTAAGAAGTCAAGGTAAGAAACAAAATAACAAATTAATATAATATTTAAGAACATTTTATTTTAACGTAGGAAATGATAACATTATGACAAATTTTATTTATTTTTAGAGATGGTGGTATTTGTGTCGTAGTGGACCCTCCTTTTGGAGGCCGTGTGGAACCACTAGCGAAGACACTAAGGGAGCTCACAGATATGTACAATAAAATATGTGAGAAAGACGATACCTTGCTACCTGTTTTATGGGCATTTCCATACTTCTCTGAGCCCTACATTACAAATATGTTACCGGAAATTAAAATGCATGATTATCAGGTATGTTCTTGATTATTTATCTTTTCAAACAAACCATCTGGTTTTGAGAGGTTTTCAGAGTAGATTCACATAGTTGTTTACTATAACATAACTATACCAGTATTGGGACCATTTTTTCCAAAGAATCACATATTATTATGTTGTACATTTTCTCCATCAATTTTCATCATAAATCAATGGTATTGCTTAATTTAAATGAAACCCATATAAAATATATGTGACAACACATTGATAGATACTAGGCACTGTCATTATGCCTATTTTTGCCACAAAGATGTCATGCATAATTGCTCACAGAGTGAGACATACAGGTCAAAGTCACAATTGCATTGTTTACAGGTCGTCCTACCCTTTTCATCAGTCAATAATGAGAATCATTTAGAACAAAAGTGTAGTGCTTAAAAGTCGATATTCCACTTTTTCTTTGCATTCCAGGTTGAATATGAGAATCATAAGAAATTTCAAAATAAAACGAAAACTGGACGCAAATACGGATCACCAGTCCGTTTCTATACTAACCTACCTCTTATCACTATAGATTTATCGAATGATAAAAACTACAAGTTCTGTGACAAATGTAAATACTGGGTTTCAGTGACAAATAACCACTGTAATAAGTGCAAAGAGTGCACGAGTAAGAATGGAATGACATATAGACATTGTAATATTTGCAAGCGGTGCGTGAAGCCTACGTTCTTCCATTGTCAGCAGTGTGAACGATGTTGCCAGGAAAAGGAACATGTTTGTGGTGTTGAAGTGACAAGTCAGGTAAATATAAACCTATGTATATCGTTTTTATATATTATTAATGTATTTACTTAAACCAAATACATTTATGGACTACAGAAAACGCTGTGCTGTGGTTGTTAGCTCATTTACTCATTTGAACCCCACTTCGATAAAGCGGCACGACATGAGAATCCTCTCATCGTGGTCACCGGAAACTACATAGCCGAACCTGCGGACCAAATGGTAAACAGTTGTCGTCGCCCAAAACACATCATTTCGGATCCTCCCGATCTACTAACGGTGTTTTTAGGTACTCCTAGCCCCGGTCATTGTTCTCGTCGAACCCGTCGCCGCGACGAAGGGCTCGGCGAGTAAATTAACCCACAGACACAGCCCACTGAGTTTCTCGCCGGATGTTCTCAGTGGGGTCGCGTTTGCGATCCGGTGGTAGATTCTGCCAAGTACGGCTGTTGCTAGAGTTCGTGTTAGCAACATCGTCAGGCTTGAGCCCCGCAAGCTTACTTACTAGTTAAGGTTACGCTGATATGGTCTCTCTAGACTCGACCATCAGCTTAGGCAGGGAAAAAAAACTTGATAATATTATTTTTTTATAGCATATTCAGTCCTTCCCAGTATGCAACTTTACTATATATTTATAATCTTACAGTCTTGCTACAATTGCAATGAAAAGGGTCACAAGAAAACCCAGTGCCCACAGCTACAGGAAAAAGTAAAGAAGAGACGAAAGCAAGCATGAAACATTTATTAAAAAATAAATCAATTATAAAAACTAAAAGTTTGTATTATTATCAAATAATTCACAATCATGATCAAATGATTAAAATCAAATATAATGTACCTTAAAAATAATTTTGCATTATGTTTTCATTTGTATATAATGTAGTATGAATACAGCTAAGTTGAACTGAAAATAAAACAAAGTTAAAATTAAATTATTTCATTATATTAACACTAAAATTAAAATAGCGCCAACTGGTATCAACGTGTAAATGGCCTATTCAAAATACTACATATTTTAGTAAACTGATCACAATGGCGCGTTTAGGCTTTTTATTAGTTTATTGAAATCCAAACATAGAAGTAAGGGCAAAAAAAAATGTATACTCACTTAACGTTGATCTTGTTGAGAATTTTTTGCGTGGCTTCATATCTTGCTTCTGCTCGCGCAGATTGTTGTAACCAGGCTTCCCTCACAGCCGACCAGCGGGCTTGCAGTGAAGATAACAGCTGCTCCCGGCTTGGTGGTGGTGTCTGATTATTGGGATTAATAAATAATATTATGAAATCTGACCAGACTCCGATATGACCCTGCATGGGTGGTACCTCCACCCTGCGTATCTCTACACCAAGCAGTCATGCTTTATTGGTTTATATGGTGGGATGGTTATTATACTATACCATCTAAATTTAGACCACGAGTTTCAAGATCAACAGCAGCATTCACACTGTGAATCTATTGTCTTCAGTAACTGCTTATCACCAGACGTATTGTTGGTTTGTTCACTCGTCTCGGCAATAAGAACAATTGAAATCATGTAAAGCTCTTAGTAATCTTACCCATGAGGCAATACAGTGTAAAGTGTTTGTGTGTGTGTATAAATTTGATGCTGTACAGAGAACAGAACTATTTCCAGGAAATTCGTCGTGGCCTAACAGATATGACGTCCGGTGCATTCGAGTTGAACCGATGCACCGGTGTTCGAATCCCAGACAGGTACCAATTTTTGTAATGAAATACGTACTCAACAAATGTTTACGTTTCACTTCCACGGTGAAGGAATAACATCGGAAGGAGTAACAAAAATCAAACCCGCAAAATTATAATTTGCGTAATTACTGGTGGTAGGACCTCTTGTGAGTCCGCGCGGGTAGGTACCACCACTCTATTTCTACCGTGAAGCAGTAATGCGTTTCGGTTTGAAGGGTGGGGCAGCTGTTGTAACTATACTGAGATCTTACAACTTATATCTCAAGGTGAGTGGCGCATTTACGTTGTAGATGTCTATGGGCTCCAGTAACCACTTAACGCCAGGTGGGCTGTGAGCTCGTCCACCCATCTAAAAAATAAATAAAAAAAATCTTCAATAATTACTAAAAAAAAATTATAAACAGAATAGAAAATGGTTTTGTTTTCCCTTTTGTATCTGAATAAATAAAGAAGAAAAATTTCTACATAAAAATACAGCATGTACAAAATATAAAATTACCTATTCTTACAAATTTTATATTTTAAACTTACATATTCAAGATCAATATTGTCCTTGTTGGCTGCCTTTTGTTCCGGCAACAACTCTGGTATCCTAGAGACTGGAGGTCCCTCTGGCCCTGGCAAGTCTATTGTCATAATATCCTCGTTGTCTTCAGGTTGATCATAACTAAAAAAAATATTTTGATTAAATTAATTAAAGTTTATTTTCATTAATCATACTTAATTATATTGAGACACAATAGGTTCGTGGTATTGGCAAAATGGACAGAAAAATACCACGAGGTCGAGGCCCAGCACATTGGACTGACCAGATGTGTACTACTCTTGACACCACAGTCCATGATGCTCTACACTCGGTGGCTAATAGGAATAAATGGCTTAGAGTGATTCACAATAAACTCTTTGCAAATAAGTGATCACGACCCTCAGCATTGAGGAAACCGAAGCAAAGAGGATTACAAGATGATTAGCATTATTATTAAAAAAATATATAATTACCCAAATTTGCTGTAATCAGCTTTAGGTTGGTTTGCAATCCAGGCTCTGCAGATCGGATAGAGAGGGGAATCCTCATCAAACTGTGACAAGTCAACACTCCGATCGAACAGTTTGAGAACATATGACTGCCGCTGGGATTGTTTTTGTGAGTGAATGTCTTCTTCTTCCGATACATAGGTTTCATCTTGATCTGATTGTCTGTGAAGGTGATTTCATATTTTGATTCTATCAATGTTTTAAATGAGAATGTTTGTGGGGATGGATAGACGTTTGTTAATCTTTGAAGTTAAAAGATTTTGATGTGACTTAACAATTTATAATCCTCATATATATAAATCATGTGTCACATTGTTTGTCCGTGATAGACTCCTAAACTACTTAACCGTTTTTAAATTAAATTTGCACACCGTGTGCATTTTGATCCAATTTGAAAGATAGGATGGTTTTTATTTCGATTAATGGTCGCAATATTTATTAATTAACAATAAAATGATTTCTTATGTTGATTTTTGTTATTAATTGAAGTTTCATAAGTCTAAAACAGATGGCGCCTTAAATCAGTTGTAACGAGACAATTTTAATACTGTCTGACATTAATATCTCATAGATGGCGCTGTGTTAAAAATACCGAAGTTTCACATAAGCTACAATTGAATGGCATACACACCACGTGTTGCTGAGGCTAAAGTACAAGTAAAAATTATTTCGTAGTAAGCGCAATACAGTGAAATCCAATTGTTCTTACTTTGTCAATTTTTGATATTAGCATAGCAGGCCACGCGGCGTGTTGTTTAGAAACAAAAACCTTAGCCACAGCAATGTGTGGCCGGGTCTGCTATATGATAAATGCTTATATGATAAAACCCTACATAGGCTATTGATGTTTACACAAATTTAGGTGTGAATACTGTAATGGTCTGTACTATAATGGTTAACTTTAGGAATCCTGTGTTACATTCACATACATTTATTCTGGTTATTAACCTGGCTAACTAAAATTGTCTTATAACAAAATCTAATTTTAGCTGGTCTACTTTTCTTCTGTTGTCATGATCTTAATCGTTGATGGTTGTGTCTAGTTTGATTTTTCATCAATCAACTATCATGACAAACTCCTCGAAGTCTCAATGGCCTCAGTCTTATTTATTAGCTTAAGCTATATTAAATATAATGTAATTCTAGTTTAAAATGTATATTAGATATCTGTGGATGAATACCTTCTTTTCCCTGGTGTAAGATCAGTAGAATCATCAGAATCCAATGCCGGTTCCAATATTTCCATTAACGCTCCCTGCAGCCTCCCTCGAGCAGTTGTCACCTCTTTTACTGTTTGTTTAAACAAAAAACAATAAAATATGTGATATACTATTTTCTTCAGATTTTAAAAGATGTAATTGTAACTATTTTTTCGCTCTTATCACGCGTATCTTACTTTCACGACATTTTAAATACTTTGCGTTTATCAGGATCTTCGACTACTAGAGTGTTAGTGATTTTATGATGACTGACATTATATATAATAAACTAGACGCGGGAATACAAGAGATAATTATAGATACGAATCCGGTGTAAACTTCGAATTTAATAACAGTTCAGCAAAAAAATTCGTTTTTAAATTAAGAATTTATATTCGATATTCAATATTCTGCATCTTTATTGAAGGAAACTCAAATCGAACATGGTCCTCCCCTAAGCCAAAAGTTTAACCACCAATCAACAAGACTACCATATCAGGAAAATTTTATATACAATTGTGTATTAAAGTTCGTGAAGTTGATCAAACCTTTATTAGAAATTTGAGGGAATTGCGTTATACTCTTTCCTTTGTTTTTGATTGGAGTGAAAATCCTTCTTCGTTTACGCATTTTTAAACCTACTCCTTTAGGAGAATAAACGTGAACTGTGTAAATTGAAATGAATCTATTTAAAATTAAAATAACTAAAATAATTAATCAAAACAAATGAGATGTGCACAGTATATTTAATTTGTTCTTTTTTAATTTGTATACGGCCATTGGCTACTCCAACTTTGGGTCTACATTTGTGATTTTTGTTGAATACTGTTTTTTTTGGAGAAATCTTGAAGTTATAAAAAGGATATATTAAAGGATAAGTTAAAAAAGGTGACGATAGTGGATTTTAATATGTTTTTTTTCATGTAAAAACTACTCATAAGTATTTAGACGAGAATTCTTGATATTTTCTCAAAAGTTAACTAAAGTAGCAGTCAATTCCCATCTTACTAGCATACTATTTCCTTTAATTTTGTTTCATACCATTTTATTTCAGATAAATTAATCTTATTTCTCATTTAACAAAGTATTTTAATGTATCTCTGAAATAATAAAATTAAACCATCAAACTTGACACGAGTAACGATGGCAGAGAAAGAAACCGAGTGCTATATATATATAAAGTAACAATCTATGGTCCCTATGTTATGTGTCAAACGAAGCGGTTCAATATTTTATTTGTCAAAATAGTTTCTTGTGTGAATCTTGGTTTGTCTGTTTAAAGTACCACGGAAATAGCTCATTATTTAAAAATACATTGCCGTGATTTATAAATGTTTAAATACAAATTGAAATCTTATGTATTATAATGTCAACACCAACGGCTTATGAGCACGACGCTGATGGTTAGTGTATAAAAAAATTCACGATTGAAGAATTTTCAAGCCTCACCGCTTTCTCTAGTAGTTTTCACATTAACCACGTTTCGTGTGATTGAAGATATTCGAATTAATTGATACAATACGATTTTTTTGTAAACATTAGAGATTAACGTTTCACACAATAAATATAGGAAGAACTGTCCTTTAAATACTTGAATTTTTTATGCAAATATATTACCTATTATTGTTAATCACCAATCTATTATATATTTCTAATCAAGCTTAACTTTTACTGATTTTCAAAGATAAAACTAATAAACTAAAAAACTAAAACAAAAACTTTACAAAATTAATTTATACTTAACTTTTAAAAATTTCAACATTCAAGGGAGTAAATTCATTCCTGCAACTCAAAGACCTGATGGAACCTGGCGCAAGCCGAGAAGAATAAAAGAAGGTTATGTACCTCAAGAAGAGGTACCGTTGTATGAAAGCAAAGGAAAACAGTTCAGGGCCAGGCAAAATGATGGACTTCCGGTTGGACTTACACCTGAGATTGTAGCTCAAGCACAAAAGAAGAAAGGTCAACGAAGCACTATCCAACCTATACCTGGAATGATTATAACTGTTGAAAAGAAGAAAAAGAAAAAGAAGACAGGTATAAAAAAAAAACTTTTGTTGTTCCTGAAGCAAAGTGGCACTTGGTGTAATATGTTATTACATCATCAAATGGTCATTGAGCTCATCTGCTTATCAATAGGGCTCACATATAATAAATGAAGCTTTGAGTCCCTACTGAATTAATATTTCATGAAAAAATTTAAGGTACTTTTCTTCTTTCTGGTCGTTCCCTCAATGGTGAGGATCGTGACTGTATGTCAATCTCCTCCACTCGGTCCGGTTCTGTGCCATAAGTACCGCTGCCTGTATCTGGCCTCCAGTCACCTTAAATTGGTCCACCCATCTAGCTGGTGCTCTTCCTCTAGCGCGCTAGGTACTTTTAAATTACATAAAAGAAAATATTCCTGCAGTAATATCACCCTGGCTATAGAAACTATCTAGAGCGTTGACATATAATATTTTTAGAATACAAAAAATTAAGGATGAAATGAGTAATGAGAATGCTTTTTTTTTTCTTATTTCGTTGGAAAAAATCATGCCCCACCTGGTGTTAAAGGGTTACTGGAGCCCATAAACATCTACAACCTAAATACCACCAACCTTTTACAGTACAATGGCTGCCCCGCCCCCCCTTCAAAGCAAAATCTATTACTTCTTCACGATAAAAATAAGCAGGGTGGTGTTATCTACCTGTGTACTCATGAGACGTCCTACCACCACTAATTATGCAGATTATAATTTTATGGGTTTTATTTTTAATACATGATTTTACTCCTTCACAGTGGTCAATCATGAACATTTGTTATGTACTTATTTTACTAGAAAAAATGGTACCTGACTGCAGATTCCTACCCCATTGCATCGCATGATACGAATGCACCGGGCTTCTTATCACTTAGGCCACAACAGCTTCATCAAGTGACAAAGAATATAGAAGGACACTTGACAGGGAGTCCAAACGCAGTTAAGGGAAATTAATCTAGTCAAAACAGCAACACATTGTCATGTTCATGAATAGCTTTCACAAATAAAGAATAAGACAGGGTAATAAAAATCTTACAGAATAACTTTTGAGGAATAATTAGTATTAGGGATTTTAAATTGCAGTCTCCAAAAGCTCGATAGCAATATTAGGAAGCATACTATCCTATTCATATATAGAAGATTATTATTTTGCTGGCGTACACGGCTGGTGAACATGAACGTTTAAGGCAATTTTGAGTAAATATGTAAACCTTACAAGATTCCAAAAACATATTTAAAAAATGACAAGAGCTATCGAGTTCACAAAAATGTTGATAAATTATTTTTAAAGATTCTTAATACTTTAGCCATTTTAAATTTTTGAACATAGTTACTTTATATTACTATTATATGATACACACCACTAAAAATAACCAATATTATTGCAGTGAACATTTGGTTAGAGAATTTTGATTTTTATGAACTCTAAATTTTTAGTTACAGGTGTTGAAGAAGCTGCAGAAAAACTTGCCAAATGTGAAATACAAGAACCAACCTTACCTAGTCAGTCAGTACCGACTGAAAGTATATCTCAGTCTGATCCGACAAAACGCCTCAAGAATCTCAGAAAAAAGCTTAGAGAAATAGAGTTTCTAGAGGAAAAAATAAAAGCAGGGCTTCTTAAGAGCCCTGATAAAGATCAAAAAGAGAAAATGTCAAAAAAGAATGAAATTTTAAATGAAATTGACATTTTAGAGAATAGTATTCTATGATTTATTGCAATTCAAGATTTTATGAGACATTTGATTATCATGTTCTTGTTATGTGTGTGTCGTGGTGGATGTGCGAGTAAAATGTTTCTTTTTAATTATACAATATATTTACAACATTAATGTGTTTGAGTTATTTATTCAAATTGTCTCATAATTTTGTGCTCTGGATTACTAAGTTGTGTGGAGGTCTGAATGTGGGAAACGTAGAAGTTCCTATTTCCTGTACTATTACTATTTTGAAAAAGATGATCATTTTTGAGACAGTGATATGTAAGACTAAAAATCAAAATAATTTAGTAATAAATGTATTATTACTTAATATTCATTACATTTATATAATAACGAAACAGTAAATTAGTACTTTTAACTTATTCTATATAGCTTGGAAGTTTCTTGGATAGATGACAGGTATATGGGATGGAATGAGATATTTTTTTCCATATTCATTTATTCTAGACTTGTGTGTGCTGAAACAAGATGGCCTGAAAAAGATTAATACAACACGTTCATATTTTTAAAGTATTTTACTTGCTAATTAAAGCGGGTATTTGCGCAACTGGTTTTACAAAACAAAACTGGTTCATCAAGGCAAATTAAGGCTATGTCAATTACTTATTTGAATTGTGCAGATTAGAAAATTATAGATTCACTTACAAGTTTTGATGAACCTATATAAACTCGTTTCTCGCCCTTTGCCGTGCGTAATTACCCAAACAGGCTAAAATTCCTACAACGGCTATACCGATACCTAAAACAGTAGCCAAAAAGTCACCAAAGTCGTAACCTGTAGATGCTTCCACATTGCTTATACCAAGAATTGTGAATAACAGGAAACACAATTGGAAATACATTTTGAAAGTAATTTAAAACAAATTTAGTAAATCCGGAGTGCTGTTTTTATTCTTTGCACAGATTACTTATGATTATTTGTAAATTCTTTGACATGCGATAACTTTTTGTTTCGTCTATGAATGAATACGCAGAGGGAATATAAGCTATACTAACAACTATTTTGTAACAATGGCCGAATTTCTCTTTGTTGTATGAAAATTGAATTAAATGAGCTTCAATAATTCACAAAAAGTGGAAATACACTAAAAACTCAATAGCCCTTTTGGAAGAACCCGAAAAGCCATAGTCATCGACTTGATTTCATTTTCTCATACTTGTGCACAGAAGTCAAATTGTTAATAAGTCTCCACATCTTTAAGTTTAATGCTGAAGAAAAATTTATTTAACAAAAAAAAATGTGTGTGCAAGTAAGTCACAAACGCTAGAAGTGAAACTTATAGAAAATATAAATAATCGCAAGGGTCAACCACTCCGCACTGCAATGGAGCAGCCTCACCCTGGGGAAACCACCTGCATGATCACGGTATCCCTACGCCAGGTAAGTATGAGATCGGAAGAGAAATACGAGAACGTCTATCAACTGTATAACATCTCGTCACCGCGATTCAGGAATTGTTGAATTTACGTGCAGTGACATCCATTGATAACAAACTAAGTAGAAATAAAAGTATCTCAGGGCGCTCCGAGAGTCACGATAGCATGCACGGGCATTAAAAACACACTGAACTAGTCGGGGACGCGAGACCGTGTGGAGTAGACATGTGTAATATTGTGTAAGTAATGCGAGTGATATTACTCCGGTAATATTACTCTACGATGTAATGCAACATCACACATTACGCGAAGGAAACAAACATCACACTATCACCCAACATGTTTCCTTCTTTGTCGTGTAATGTTGCTTAATACACGAACGGAACCGAGCGAGCGAGACAGACCGATCGACGCAAAATAAATGAGCAAGCGACACGGAATTATTCCTAGTGATTTTGAACCGTATGCCCTGGCCGCTAGGTACATTTTTATACCTATGGTACGTCTGAATTTTAATATAGTTATTTGTGTTTATATTTTTCATGCGGCCAGCCGGTAGTTCCCCGCAAGTAGTTACTTAATTTTTTATTCGCAACTTTTGTAAAATCGCTAGTCGCTCGTAATTGTTTAGTAATATTTCATATTAATTTTTGTGTTTGAATTACTTAAGCACTTGTTTGAAGATAGTTTTATTATTTGTTTTAATGCGTGTTTAATAAGTNGGTATTTGTGTTTATATTTTTCATGCGGCCAGCCGGTAGTTCCCCGCAAGTAGTTACTTAATTTTTTATTCGCAACTTTTGTAAAATCGCTAGTCGCTCGTAATTGTTTAGTAATATTTCATATTAATTTTTGTGTTTGAATTACTTAAGCACTTGTTTGAAGATAGTTTTATTATTTGTTTTAATGCGTGTTTAATAAGTGAAAGAAATAACGGCGTCTAAATGAAAGTACAGTCCTCCTTGGATGCACTTTGAGGATATCGCGCCGAAACAATGCATCTACTGCTCTCCTATATTAACATTATTGTCGAGCTCAGTTTGCAGTCTAAGTCGCCATATGAAATCCGTTTATCCCACAATAAATTATAATAAGTAAAAAATAAAATTATTATATTATTAAGTAAGTCAATCTCTGTCAAGTAATATAACAGTGTATTACAATACAAAGTTCATACTTTGTATTGTAATACACTACTGTAATGACACACTAGTAATGTATAGATACAATGTATTCGTCGTCACAGTATCTATTGAACGCACCGAGTAATGTTAAGAGTGATGTGTAATGTTTTCGAGTAATATCACCTGTCTGTAAAAGTGATGTCATATCACATTACATTGGGAAGTGATGTTTTGCGCAAGTCTAGTGTGGAGCGCTTGGTGATTTGTCAGCGCCGCTCGGAGCCGCTTCAGCAAGCCAATCGCGGCGCACTTATTTTTTCGTTGCGTTTCATTTCGTTTCATCGAGTTTGAAACACTGAAGTAGGAAGTTTGAAATCACACACAACGATTCTAAAGAAGTTTCACTTTAATAAAAAGTCTATAAGCGCTCAAAACTCTATCACAGAAGAATATTTTTGTTGATTGAATCGTTCTCTTGGACAGGTTAAGGTAACGTAGGTAACATAACATACGAATTGATTACACAAAAGGAATGTAATTGGATGAAGTAAAATGGAATCGAATGCGGTGTTCAATAATTATCATTTTGGGAATCTATCACAATTCTTAAAAATATTCTCTGAAGTTTTGTATTTGGATTCATGTTGACCTCAGACTATCTGACTATGTCACGGACACGTGCCACCTAGTGTACATGTAAATGGCACAACCCACCATAAGGAATGAATTTTAAGTCTCAGGCTTATAGAACAACGGTTTTCCCACGTTTCTTACTGAAACGCAATACTATTTCACCGCAGAAAGAGGCAGGATAGTGGTATCTTCCCGTAGAGGCACCAGTACTTACGCAAATTACAATTTTTGCAGGTTTCATTTTTAATAAATGATTCACGATTATTCCGTCGTCATGAAAGTCGTTCGTGAGCATGTGTTAAATACGTATTTCATTAAAAAAATGGTATCTACTAATATTTCTAATTAATAATTGAATACGAACTCTAGCACAACCTATTTCTAATATATTATAAATATTTAAAAGCTTTAGAAAATACACATTAAAATAATCTTAACTGATCGCTTCACTTTGACAACTGTTGAAGAAGGGTATTGATAATAAAGAAGCGAATGGGTATGGGTCGTCGGTGTAATGGAGTAAGTACCTGAGTAGGCGTCGTCGGTGTTTGGGTGGTAAATCAATTACGACACCTTGCACACTAATGTTTATTACAATCAACACTTAGTCCCCACGAGAATACAACACAGTCTATATTGTTATAATAATGAAGAATAAAAGGTTACGAGCACAGAAGAGATTCAGTTTATACACAGAAGACACTTTACACGACAATATAATTACGATAAGCACAAGGAAAGCGCTTTACCAAAAGCGAGGCAAAAGCTTCGGAAACAAGGTGAATATTCTGCAAAAGCGAGGTGCGTTCAGTCTTGATATAAGCTCCAACTGGGGGTGTGGCTAGCCGCGATCAGCTGCGCAGGAGTACTTTTTCGAGCTACACGCGACATTCCATCCAAGCGCGCGTGTCCACAGCGCAAACGAACGGGCGGCCAGCTGATTGATGCCGTACGATATTGTGATGAGTACTTAAGTGTGTGTACGTGGAATGTGGGTTAAGCCAACAATATCAAAATCAAATTTTAAATAATGACTTTGAGCAAAAATTTTGTTTCATTTCGTTTCATTTCACCTCATTTCATTTCATGCCATGTTTCATGTTAATTAACTTCATTTCACAAAATCATTTTTCATTTAAAAAAAAAAACAAAGATTAGGGTGTATGGTATGATACTTTTGCCTTTCCAATTAGAAAACTAAAACTACTACTACTTAAATGTCATAAACTACTAATAAATTTCTTGCGTTTGATACTCTTTGGCTAGACTAAGAAAATTGATATTTCTCAATCTAAACATAGTACACAGTTGCCTGCCAATAATAAATTTAATTATTATTTGATACGTAGTAGGTACGTACCTACTTTGAAATTGTCATGCATTATAATTGACAATGGGTTCATGTTTACCTCTAAATTGAAGGAAACAATATTTATGATATACAGGAGACACATAACCTTATAAATTGGCTTGAACACTAGATATTTCAATTTTGTGATTAAATAAATATCGCAATGAGTTATCCGGGCGGTGGTGGTAGAGGAATGGGGTTTGCCGGCTTCTCGATGCCGAAGCGAAACCCTTCGAATGTGTCTCTCCATGCTGTGCCGCCTCCAACGACGTCTATGCATGCTGTCCCACCGCCTTCCAGTGGTCTTTCAAAACAAGGATATTCTACAATGAGTGCTATTACACAAAATGCAGTTACCGGCACTTGGGGTACTCTTGGGAAGAAACGCGCCAAAACCGAGGATGAGTAAGAGCAAAGCTTTAATTTGTAAGAATAAAGTAGAATCTTTAGATTAATATGTTTGGTTTTCTCAAAAATTTTACAAACACTTAAGTATGTTTGCTCGAAAACGATACCATGAATGTTTTTCGTAGGTATTTTGATGATGATGATGAGCCTCCAACACCAGCGTTGGCTTATATACCTGCACCAGGAAGCCCTACTAATGCAGCAAGTAGTTCTAGGGTAAGTATGTAGATGACAGCAAAAATCTGTCCTGCATATATGATATTTTATAAATATGTAAATAGATACATCTGGATAGTGACCGAGACCCATGGGTTCAGTAGTTCTTGAAGTCTAGAATTGGATATTTTATCTTCAAAATTTAATTCTCCCTATTTTTTATTTATTTATTTATTTAAATTGTAATACTGTTCTTAGTATGGTGTTTTTCAGCATCAGTAACATCAGTTGGCTATGATCATCTAGTCGTTTCAGCTACTTAATATGGCTTTGATTTGTTTTTTTTTATCCTTGACAATATTCACTTCGAAATTAATGAGCTGAAAAATACATGATCAATCAGCAGCCTATTTTAATGGGAACCAAAAAATTGCAATTGTTATCCTACCATTAGAATACATAATACCGGATTACATTGCAGCAAAAACAGCTCAGCGAATTGTACTACTCATAGAAAAATCTTCTCATCATTAACAAATATCATGACTTAAGATTCTCTGATTAAAATGCCTGTCAACTGTTGTATGCAGATATAGCTTATTGAATCCTATTTTTTTTACAAAATTGCAGGCTGATGACGACGATGAAGATCCTCTAGATGCCTACATGGCTGGGTTGGAACAACAAGCAGCTCGGGATTTGGTCACCAGTAAGGAGAATGCAGCCAGCGGAAAAGACAGTGTGAGAGGAACTAGGGGTGATATTGATGATATGGACGATGAAGAGAGTTATTATAAGTAAGTTCCTTGTAATTTTATGTTCATTGTTTTTTGTTAATTTAGTTGTAATTATGTATAATTTGTTCTACTGGTTATGTGAATCTGTAAAAAATCAACACCCTTGAGGTGTTAAGTCGTTATTGGAATCTCAATGATACACAATGTAAATCTCAGCTGATGTAATTATTTGTATTTTTAAATTAAACTTTTTTTTTAGGTATATGGAAGAAAATCCTCTGAATAATGCAGATGACACGTCTGATGTAGAAATAGAATATGATGAAGATGGCAATCCTTTAGCTCCAGCGAAGAAAAAATTCATCGATCCCTTACCTCCTATAGACCACTCTGAGATAGACTATGAACCATTTGAAAAGAACTTCTACACTCCTCATGAAGATATTGAAAAGCTCACACATCAACAAGTTGAGGAGTTAAAAAAGAATTTAGGTGTGAAGGTATGTTTAATATTGACATTTTACTAATGTTTATAAATTCACCTCTTGTGAGTCTGCACGGGTAGGTACCGCCACTCTGCATATTTTTGCTCTGAAGTAGTAATGCGTTTTGGTTTGGAAGGGTGGGGCAGCTGTTGTAACTATCCTGAGACCTTAGAACTCAAATCTCTCATTGTAGATGTCTATGAACTCGTCCGCCCATTTAAGCAATAAAAAAAAAAAGAATAACAATGTGTGCATCGGAACTTACGTAGACATATCCCGTTGCCTTGTAACTTCGTACAGTTGTTGCTGTTTGCTTTGCTTTGCTTTAGGAAAGGATTTTGTCAAAAAATCATTATAAGACCATCATTGGCACAATAACCTCTCAATAGATCTATTTTATAAATTATAATCACAGAAAAGTGGTATAATGCTGGGTTTCACTGGTTAATAATAAAAATATTTTGTAAATTAGTATTTTAAGTCATGTATTTTTATTAATTTATTATAACTTGAGCAGTTTTACTAAATGGCCAATCACTAGTAAAGTTAGAGGTACAAGGAGGCTGGTGGTAGGATTAATTTGGGAAGAGATAAATTGGGCAGATAATATACCATGGATGTGCAACAGGGAAGCATTAGCTAGGACTAGTTAGGTGAATAGCCAGCCAGAGTATTGTCCGATGACACAAATACTCCTTTAAAGCATGTTGTTTGGTTCATCAGATAACGGGTCCGGACCCCCCTCGGCCCGTGAGCAGCTTCGCTCACCTCGGGTTCGACGAGCAGCTGATGCGCGCCATCCGCCGCTCGGAGTACACGCAGCCCACGCCCGTGCAGGCCGCCGGCGTGCCCGCCGCCTTGTCCGGACGAGACATTATTGGTACGCATCGACACTGCTCAATGAGGATTTTAAGTATTTACTGCATAAATGTATTGATCTTTTTTATATTTAAATCCAGGTAATAGTATTGGGTACGAGCCAATAAGTAGTAATTAATACGCTTTTATCAGCTTCAGAGATGTAATGGAATCTTTGAACATGATTTTGATCCCCTTCAAAACGTCAGATTAGCTTGGAATTTGGCATACTTATTAAGGACTGATGACAATTCAATATTTTAAACAGTTTGACCCGTTATCCTTACTAGGATAATCAGGATTAGCCATTTTTTGTTTTCCTTTTTTTTACAATAAAATCTTTTTTTTTTACACTATTTTTAATTCAAATTTATTTTCTATTTTTTAGTTGGATTCTCTATAAAAGCGTATGCTTTTAGTTTTTTTAAACTATTATTTATTTTTTGGCAATTAGGTAATGTTGTATCCACACACTTCTGATGTATTTTGTCTATAAAACCATACTATACCATACCATGTAGGAGCAAGCATCAACATTAGTTATCTCTTTAAAAGGGCTTTTAAAATCGAAACGAATTATTACGGCGTGTCATTGACGACATAAAGTTATTCAAAGTGAAGTGACGGACGGGTCATCTCAAGAAAGCGAAGTGAATAGTGAAATTTGCCTTAGTTGCTAAAATAATTAATTAAATAAATAATTAAATGCACTTTTAATTATGGTTTCAGTGAACTATAGTGTATACTCTATAATAGAATGAAAACAAACCGGTTGTTATAGCAACGGCTATTCTTTGTCATTAAACAATTTGCCAACAAGATAACTCTTCAACTTTAGCTTTATAATTTCTAGGTATTGCCAGAACCGGCTCAGGCAAGACGTGCGCGTTTCTGTGGCCGCTACTGGTTCACATCATGGATCAGAAGGAATTGGCGCCCGGCGATGGACCAATAGGACTCATCCTTGCTCCCACCAGAGAATTAGCTCAACAGGTATAGATAAGATACATTTAAATTCAAAGGATAGCACTCTCGATGCTGTAGTGGCCGAACATAAACAGAAAATGTAATTAACGAAAGCTAAACATATGAATATATATATCGCACTTACGGTGTGGTAACGTCACTTATGCAAATTATGGAATTTTTCAGGAGAAATGTTGGAAACTCCAACATCTTACTAATATACTTCTTATATAGTTCTGCTAGGCTATAGAAATAAAATGATAATATTTAAACTACAAACTTCATCAGTAAAAGCAAACATCTCTCTCCACTTACTATAAACTAATAACTAAAAAACGTATTTTCTCATACTCTTTTTTTTTTTTTTTTTATTGCCCTTGTATGCAGACGAGCATACGGCCCACATGGTGGTGAGTGGTTACCGTCGCCCATGGACTTCAGCAATGCCAGGGGCAGAGCCAAGCCGCTGCCTACCGCTTAATACTCTCCACAAGCCTCGTTTGAAGAAGGCGTCATAGCGCTCGGGAGACACCGTGGAGGGGAGCTCATTCCATAGCCGGATGGTACGTGGCAAAAAAGATCTCGGGAAACGCACTGTGGATGACCGCAGTGGCTCCAGGTAATATGGATGAACTCTACTCCGGTGGTGGCGGTGCGATAGTAAAAACGAGATGCCGGTATCATCTCGAACAATTCCTCAGAGCACTCAGTTCAGTGTTAATCAAAATTGTATAAGTTTATATGTATTTTATAGCACCGTATATTATATACATATGTTATAGCACTTCATGTGCGATGTATCAATAGTTCAGATTTTGTAATAGCGTAGTGCTGACCTGACGTGTCATCTGTACGTGATACATTGTGTGCAGTACAAAAAACTATAATTATTTATACTTTTAGTAAATATTGTATCATTGTGTTTAGAATTACTAATGAGATAACTTATCGTTTTAGGGAAAAGTTTTTGTATTTATTTTTTGCTTGAATTTTGTAAATATTATAAATAGTAACACATTCATATAAACCTTAGGTTGCTGTGAGCTATGTCTACAAGATTGACTGCTTTAAAGTTGCTTTTATTCTTTGATGTTTCTATTTCAGATTTACATGGAAGCGAAGAAATTCGGCAAAGTGTACAACATAAGGTGTGTGTGCTGTTACGGTGGTGGATCGAAATGGGAACAAGTTAAAGCGTTGGAAGGTAATTACAGTAAAGGTTGATTTAAACAAAAAGAATCTCTGGTGGCAGCAGCCGAGAACGTCACGGAATAATTTAGTCCTGTGTTATATCCGAACATTATAGTTTGGTCACACAAAAGAGAAGTCGCCTGTTATTTAATTCTTAACTGTTGGTTTATTGGACTATTTTTGATGGAAGATTTTCTCCTAGTTGACATGTATTTTTTATTTTATTAACCAAAATAAGAAATTTAAAGTGTAGAAGAAATATGTAAGTGATAATCATTCTAAATATATGCTAAAGCATGAGAATCATTATTTTGTACAATAATGTCATCGTACATCATAACTAAAGAAACAACATATTATACACTATGCATACAGTGTATCTTTGCCTTTAGATTTAAATAGGCTAAGGATTTTACACAATACTAGTCAGTTTAGGCTCCAGCTTCCTGAAGCTAGCGTTTCCTTGATTGTCTATTTTAAGTCATCATTTTAATTTCCTATCTGATTCTTTCCGTATTAAAAAAAATTTCTTGGTATTCCAGGTGGTGGTGCAGAAATAATAGTAGGCACTCCGGGTCGTGTCATAGATTTGGTCAAGTGTAAAGCTACAAATCTACAAAGGGTGACCTATCTAGTGCTCGACGAGGCTGACAGAATGTTTGATATGGGATTTGGTGAGTCTCCAATAATTTGTGATAACATTTATTATGGTTAAATGTAATTGATTCATACATAAATTGGTTAATTATAACAAACTACTACTATTATTATGCAAAAGGCGAGCAAGATCGAACCGAATTCTGCTCATCCTAAATATAACGCACCACAAACGAAAACATACTACTTTGTTACATTAAGCATCGGTAGTTCATGTTTATTGATATGAAGGTCATATTTTGGGACGCTTCACTCTAATAATGAGAAGTGTGATTACAGACAATTTTTTACTTATTCTTTAATGAAAGTAATTGTAATAAAGTATTCTAAATGCAACAATAAGATTATCAAATGTTAATGGTCGAAGAATTCGAATGATGTATTTAATTGTTGTACGTCAGAGCCACAAGTCCGTTCGATCTGCAACCACGTGCGGCCGGAGCGACAGGCGCTGCTGTTCTCCGCGACCTTCCCGCGCCGCGTGGAGCGACTGGCACGCGACGCGCTGCACGACCCCGTCCGCGTGCAGCACGGCGCCGCGGGGGAGCCGGCGCACCTCGTCACGCAGCACGTCCGGTACGTCACGCTCAGTGTGCCCGCACTAGCAGCACGGCGCCGCGGGGGAGCCGGCGCACCTCGTCACGCAGCACGTCCGGTACGTCACGCTCAGTGTGCCCGCACTAGCAGCACGGCGCCGCGGGGGAGCCGGCGCACCTCGTCACGCAGCACCTCAATGCTACGAGGTCACAGCACAACGTAAGATCCCCCCGGGTAGTGCCGCTGGTGTCTCGGAACTGAGTGATCTGTATGTGTGCAATCACAATATGGACAGGTTCCATTTTCAGGCTCCGTAGCCAACAGACACCTTACCTGTCGCACAAAATAAATATACAGCGGCATTCGCAGTTACTTGGTCCATCACACAGCGTCCGCAGCACGAGGTGTCCTCCGGCCGGGGTATCCATAAGCAGGGCTGCGGTGACGTGTTGGACTGGTAACGGAGCGCCGTGGGGTTCACTAATAGTTTTAAAACACTATAATTTCACACTGCAATGTATAGTGCCGATCATTAAATACCTATTATACTAACTGAAACGTCTTCTGTTACAGAATATTCAACAAACCAGAAGAGAAGTGGTCATGGCTGCTCAGTAACTTAGTTGAGTTCCTGTCGGCGGGAAGCGTGCTCATATTCGTTACGAAAAAGGTAAGAAGCGAGCGCCTCACATTAATATCTTTAATTAAACTAATAATTACCGTGAGCACTCTTCGGTGTTCCACTATGAGGACAGAAACATTCTTCATCAGCGTCTTCAGACGAGGCTTGAGGAGAGTTCAGCAGGTAGGCAGCAGCTTGGCTCTGCCGACGTCCTTGAGCGACGATGAGCACCATATGCGCGTCTGTACAATGGCAATAGTTACTAGTATTAGTAGTAATAACTGTGTAATAATTGAATATTACTTGTTATTTAATTACTTCTGATGAGTCTTTACTTTCTCTTTGGAAACGAGCTAAGCAAAAAGTATCTCCTCCCCTTTAGATATCCCTAGTTTTTGTGACTAGAAACACGAGTAAGGCTGGCTCTGTTGTACCTAGTAGGTCGTTCATAATACTAGATGTAACTTCGATACTAGGTACATACCACCCTATCTACATACTACCCTATCTTGTGGACCGAATGGTAAACCGTCGATGTTACCCTAAACACGTCATTACGGATCCTCCCGATCCGATTATTACAAAGTTAAGTCGTACACTGTGTGCATTACTAATAAAAATCTTACGTTAGGGACGTTTTTTCCCGGTTACGGTACTCGTTGGCATCGTCTCATAAGGAACTTCGTTCCAAAAAGATACTAGGTAGTATAAACACAGTTTCTGAACACGGCAGCTGGAGGCGGAGCAGACGGCCGCCAACCTCGGCGTGCAGCAGTACGACGCGCTGCTACTGCACGGGGACATGGAGCAGGCGGACAGGAACAGAGTCATCACGGCCTTCAAGAGGCAGGAGACTAACATACTAGTAGCCACCGACGTTGCCGGTACGGTACATTATACTTAAACGTATTGTATTACTGGTGGTAGGACTTCTTGTGAGTCCGCGCGGGTAGGTACCACCGCCCTGCCTATTTTTGCCGTGAAGCAGTAATGCGTTTCGGTTTGAAGGGCGTAGCAGCCGTTGTAACTATACTATATAACTATATGTAAATATTTCCACTTTCTCCGTAAATGAAGTGGGGGTAAAATTTAGCGTTATGCCAAAGTTATGCTATTCGCGCGTACGGAGTCGCGAGCAAAAGCTAGTAAAAAATAAAATAAAAATGTTACTGTTAATAAATATCGAGCAAGGCTACATTGCTATCCACCCCCCCCAACGCTCGCAGCCCGCGGCCTGGACATCCCGCACGTGCGCACGGTGGTGAACTACACGGTGGCGCGCGACATCGACACGCACACGCACCGCGTGGGCCGCACGGGCCGCGCCGGCGTGCCGGGCGACGCGCACTCGCTGCTGCTGCGCCAGCACGACCGGGACTTCGCGGGGCACCTGCTGAGGAACCTGGAGGCCGCGCAACAGGCCAGTACCTCTACCCAGTCTGTCGGTGCTGTGACGTCACCCGCCGACTACTGTTCATAAGCCAAGCCAGTGTGCTTAGTGCGAGTTTTTTAACATATCAAATCACAGGTCTTTTTTGCCACGTACCATCCGGCTATGGAATGAGCTCCCCTCCACGGTGTTTCCCGAGCGCTATGACATGTCCTTCAAATGAGGCTTGTGGAGACTATTAAGCAGTAGGCAGCAGCGGCTTGGCTCTACTCCTGGCATTGCTGAAGTCCATGGGCGACGATAACCACTCACCATCAAGTGGGTCGTGTGCTCGTCTGCCTACAAGGGCAATAAAAAAAATTCTGTATGCTGATTTCATAACATTTTGTCTGTCCCTAATTGGATGGGATTAGACAAGAGCGATCAATCGAGGTGTGTCTCGCGTCGCAGGTGGTGCCCGACGAGCTTCTGCAGTTGGCGATGCAGTCGGCCTGGTTTAGGAAGTCGCGCTTCAAGAAAGGAAAAGGAAAGAATCTTAACATCGGCGGCTGCGGCTTGGGGTAAATCAAATAAAATCAATAACCGTCAATTCACAAAAACTAGCCTTCGTCCTGAAAAAACTGGCAAGAAACTCAGCTGGAATGCCTTTTTTTTTATATTACATTATAATTGTTTTAAATATTAGATGTTTTTAAATATTCATAAGCTAATAAGGTGAACTTAACACGTTCACTGCCATGTAGGCACTAAAGTAATTGTTTCGATTTCTCTCTTCGACTTATCATTAAGGAGTCGGAGCATCTAGTAGACTCTGGGAAAAACGAATCCAAAGATAATGAGAATGAATCTTTTTCCAAGAGACCTAAAAGACTAAAACATACGTTAACAAACAAAAGAAGGCAATCTAGGCGTTTAATAACAGAAATCGAGATAATTACTTCAGTGCGCCGCGTAGGGCACCGGTGACCAACATGTCAGTCGATGTGTTAAACAGAGCTCTGAATTGAGATGCCCAAAAGGGATATACAGGGTCTCCCACAAAGGGTATATCAAGGCGAAAAATATAGATAGTTACCAATTAAATTGTACACTATACAGGGTGTTTTGGAATCTATTTCGACAGTATTTATACAAGTATACATTTTATGGAAAGTTTATTAGGAGTTCATGCCCCCCCCAAAGCCCCCCTCCTTCCCCTCCCCGTGCGGTCATTGAGCATGTGTCGTGCGCAGGTACAAGGAGCGTCCGGGGCTGCCCCCCGCGCCCCCCGCGCCCTGCGAGCCGCACGGGCCCGCCACCGACCGCCTCGCCTCCCTCAAGCAGGCCTTCCGCTCACAGTACAACCAGGTGCGACAACACAACCCTAACTCACCTTCACGCTGACGATTACTAAAATCTTAATTATTTAACTAATTCTTAAATACCATAAATGAAACGAGTATATACGCATAAAATATTTGGAATTGTTAAAAAATATAATGCAGATGCGTATAACAATTGGCAGTATGTCCACACGTGTAGTGGTGACCTACCTGTTACTTCCCTCTGCGAGAAGAACACTCCTCATACGTTGGAATCGAGACTTTAATCTCATGCCTCAAGGACTTTTTGGCGGGAACGCGAGGAGTGAAATTGTGTGATTTGTTTTATTTTGTCTATTTAGTGTTTTTTCAGGTTTAAATGTGTAATAATGGTGGTTTATTAATTGTTTAATATCTGTGAAAGTGCACAAATGTGGGAAAATGAAACAAAGCCGTTGGACGTAACTTCTCGGGATCCTCCAAAAAGTCCACTGAAAAAAATCTTAGTAAATGACCACCATTTTATTGAGATAATTTCATTCCAGTTGATTAATGTCTCAAATTAATCATCTTCATTTCATTTCACTCCATTCCATATTATCATTTTTCATAAAAATAAGAATATAAATTAAAAGACTTGACTTAAAGGTCTTAGTTACCAGGTCATAAAATCGCTTTTTTAAAAAAAAACGCCTCAAGTTGTGAGACGTAAGACAGTAAAGTACACGACTCGTTGAAACACATCCGATTTTTCAGTTCACAGCGTCGTCAGATCACTCGTGGGAGCAGACGCGGGTCCAGCCTGGGGTCAACGAGCCCGCGCCGCCGCCTGACGACAAGCCCGAGAGGGTCCGGAAGAGCGGCAAGAAGAGCCGCTGGGAGTAGCCACCCCCAACTCAATGCGAGGGTAGTCTGAACACGGGGGTCGGTGCGGTCTGGGAGCTTACGTCGCACGTGGCCAGCTGAGCCGATGCGGTCCAGAGACCGACAGCCGCGCGCGAGCCCACGAACTCTCACGGAACTAAAGAAATATCTCTTAAAACTGGTCACAGAGACAACTTTTTTTGTTATTGCATATATGAGTGATATGAGTTCTAAGGTCTCAGTATAGTTACAATGGCTGCCCCGCCCTTCAAACCGCAACGCATTACTGCTTCACGACAGAAGTAGGAAGTGTGGTGGTACCTACCCGTGCGGACTCGCAAGAGGTCCTACCACCAGTAAAGCCGAGAACATTAGTATTTAAACTAGCGTAGCCGGTCTCAATGAAGTGTCTAAGATTACGTAGTTTTTCAGACGCAAGTTTTGTGTCGACTCTCGGAGACTTATCTGTCTCTGCCGTAAAGCAGATAATCGGGTTCGAAGGTCGAGATAGCCTTTATACAAGTGGAACTTGAACCTCATGTCTTGAGACGAGGGGCAGTAGCGTGGCTAGTGACGCCAACTCCTCTCCTGTCCTGTGTGCTTAGTGCGAGTTTCTTAACGTTCTAGATAGTGTAAGAGTTAAGCCATTTTTGTATGCAGTTGGAACAGCGCTCCTAGCAGTAAACGTACGCAAACGATCCCATTCCATACAAATATGAGTTAACGTTTACGCTATCGAGAACGTAAAAAATCTGACACTAAGCACACTGGAGTATTCAAAGAAAACTTACCATACATTGATGGTATTATAAAGCTTTTCCAATGTTAACCTGCCAAAATAGTAGTTTCGTAGGCAGCGGCTTGGCTCTGCCCCTGGCATTGCTGAAGTCCATGGGTGACGGTAACCACTCACCATCAGCTGGGCCGTATGTTCGTCTGACTACAAGGGCAATAAAAAAAAATCTTAATTACTGATGGCAATAGAGTCCGCACCCACTCTCCCTCGTTCTCCGGCGAACCAGTCACACCTTCTGATATGAAGGTCTGGAGCTCGGACTTGCCTAAGGGGTCCGGTTGATGCCTGGTGGCCGTGGGTTTGTACAAGGGGAAATACAATTTAAAAAAAAACTAGAAGACAATGCATCGGCCCCCGCACTACCCGCAAATTAAATAAATTGATTGAGTCATCTGTCACCCCACGACAAACAGAAGCCCGATACAAAACATCGCTAGCCAAACACGTGATACATAATCTAACAGATATCAATTCATGTATTTATTCATTAAAATCAATTGTAACATTGACAAAAAACATCGTAATGTCCCAAATTTAAAGTGAAACGCATCGAACGCGAACAAACAAAACCGCAAACATTAGATATATATATATAAATATTAGTTAAGTTATCGTTTTTATGTGTCGGGAATTTGTTTTAATTTTAAAATTCGCTTTTAAGATAATGTCGCGTGAGTGTTCAATTAAATGTAACACTGTCCGATGCGTCGTCGGTTTTAGCCTTAGTGTACTTATTGCGAGCTTTTTAACGTTATTGATCGCGTAAAAGTTAACTCAAATTTGTATGGAGTTGGAAAGTTTGTGTACGTTTGCCGCTAGGGGCGCTTTTCCAACTCCATACATATTTGAGTTAACTTTTACGCAATCGAGAACGTTAAAAAACTCGCACTAAGCACACTGATCGCTAAGAGAAGTTCAAGGAAGCCGGTGGAAATAGCATTTTATAATAATGTAATTTTGTTTATATTTACTATTAAGTTAAGATAGTGAATATCTTATAAGAGATAATTAAAAAATTTCATCTAATATTATTAATAATGTGAACACAAAAAAAAGGTTTGATTTTCTATTTATGTAATCAAAGATTTAGATGATTTTATTAATGAAATGCCAAGTGTTTACGGGGAGATTGAAAATAATAATATATAATATGACGACTAAACTGTTCACGTAAAGCCAAGAGAATTTGTGCGCTTTTGTCTTCTATGATCTGTCGCGCGATTATTGAATAGATTGTTCGAATCAATTTCATTACGTGTGACGTCATTTAGGGCCAAAATAGCCGAGCTAATGCTAACACACACGTCGATTGACCACATATGACGTATGCATTGAGTAAGATGTTGACGTCAAAATAATGTATTTATTTCGTTATAATGAAATTCAAGATCCGTTGTGATGAGTTGTCAAATATTCTCGTATGGTTCTAACTATAATAGAGCTGCAAATTATCTGAAGTGTCCTCACTGTTTGCAATTGTCCGTTGTCCCCTGCTCTTAAATAAAAAGATCAATCACTTTAAACTTTACTATCTATAGAGAGTTTTAGAAACGGTTCTGCGTTTAATAATGTATTCACTGCTTTGGGGATTGTGTTTGCGTGAATTTTATCGGTCCGCATTGATTCGTAGTTCAAAGTTACTCAAATTTGTATGGAGTTGGAACAGCGCCCCTAGCGGCAAACGAAGGGAAGCCGTACCAACTCCATACAAATTTGAGTTAACTTTTACCTTATCGAGAACGTTAAAAACTTACACTAAAGACGCAATAATGAGTAATTACAAGATCCCGAGTGTATAGAATTTTTTCGAATACCTTTTAGAAATTATCAGCGAAAATCCAAAAGTGGATGGAAAATTGTTAGAATAAATAGAGCGTACAAACAGGAACAAAAAAAAATTGCCTTAAATCAAACCGAAAAATGTGGTTTATAGTTTAAAATAGTGAAGAAACGTACAAGTATTTTTGAAATGTTAAAAAAAGTTTTTGAATACGTCATAATCTTCATAATGTAAAATGTTGAAAATAAACACGAGATACAATATTGTTACTGTAGTTTTAATTGTAATTTATTTGGGTTTTGTTTTTTATATTATAATATATATTTGTATTTTTCTTTCTACCTTGAATCTTGAATCAATCATCTTCTTTCTTGAATCAATTGTATTGTTACGCGCTGGGGTTCCGGATAAATAAAAATTCTACCGGAGTACGATTAGTAATGTAGGTAATGTGTTTTATTCTTTTACTTTCAACCCCAAAACAAGTTATACTTGTTATCGCGTACATACAAAATGAAATAGATTCCAAATTGGGAACTGAATTTGGAAGCTTAATACGACTTTGTTCTTGGGATGCTTAGGAACTAGGTTTTGTTGATTGCAACAGCATGCGACGTTTATCGTGTCCGCTGGCAATTACTCCGCATCAGTCAGCCGCTTTCGATGTCCCTAGACAAGTCCTGATTGATCCTCCTTATTCACTACGTAACTTGGCCCCTTAAACGAGCCCGCTGAGTTTCTCGCCAGATATTCTCAGCCTATTGCGAATTCACTGGTGGTAGGACCTCTTTTGAGTCCGCACGGGTAGGTACCACCACCCTGTATATATCTGCCTTGAAGCAGTAGTGCGTTTCGGTTTGAACGGTGGGGCGTTGTAACTATACTTGAGACCTTAGAACTTGTATCTCAAGGTGGGTGGCGCATTTACGTTGTGGATGTCTATGGGGTCCAGTAACCACTTAACACCAGGTGGGCTGTGAGTTCGTCCACCCATGTAAGCAATAAAAAAGAAAAAAAAGCATCTGCGCTTGAGTTCTTAAGCTTTCCACGGAGGCGCCTAGGCAACGGTTAACAAATCTCACCTCTCCTGGTTGGGTCCCCGCTAGCCCGATCGCCATGGTAAGGCTCGAAAGCCTCACCAACGGCAATTACGACATCCCTAAAAAGTATTTCAAAATTTTCACGATTGAAGAACACTACAATAAGCAAAATGATAACGTGTACGCTCACAGTTCTAAAGAATAGGCTCAAGTGATCGGAAAGGTACAACGTGGTCATCATCCTGCGTCAGTGATGGTTCGGTGGGGCGTGTCTTATCAAGGATTCACAAAATTACATTTTTGTGAAAAAGGAGGGAAAACTTCAACCAAAGTGTATCAAGATACAGTCTTGGAGCATGTTGTAAAACCTTTCAGTATTACACTTTTTTTAAATATACCGTGCACTTTCCAGTAGGACTCCGCATCTGGTCACAAGGCACGAACTACCCAAGCCTGGCTTGAAACCGTTCCGGACTTTATAAGGGCTGAAGACTGTCCCTCATCTAGCCCAGACCTCAATGCTTTAGACTTCAAATTATGGTCAGTTTTAGAGGACATGGTCTGTTTTAAACGACACGGCGACATTGAGTCTCTTAAAAAATCTTTGGAGTAGGTAAGTAGTGGCGAAATTTCCCTTTGAAATAGTGCGTAAACTCATAAATTCCTGGCGTGGCGAAAAGATTAAAGGCATGTTTAAAAGCCAAAAGTGGCCATTTCGAATAGATTTTTTTACTGATACCTTAATAAACTCAATAATTTCAACGTCCGTCTGGTGTAGTGGTAAGTGACATGGTCACTACACTAGGGGGTCGCGGGTTCGAATCCCGCCAAGGGAAGATATTTGTATGATAAATATAAATGTCTTTTCCAGGGTTATGGATGTATATTAAACATATGTATGTGTATAATAAAAATCTTACATTTATTTCTGTTATCTGGTACCTGTAACACAAGTTCTTTAAGAACTTATCACGGGACCAGTTAACGTGGCGTGATTGTTAGTAAAATATTTATATTTATATTTATTTATTTAAATATGTAGGTATAAATTTTAATAATATTACATTACTTCATTAAAAAAAATTCATTTTCATTTGCAACAGAACTTATGGCCGGACTAGGTACACTTTCAACCTAATCACGGTACTATAGGCAAGAATAGGTAATTGGCGACGGAGCTCATATCGAACGTGTAGGCGAAGTTTTAATTTATTCAGTTAACTGCCTTTCAACACGAATGGCGGGCTTCTATCACTAGCTTGCATATATTAGCTGATAAATTTCACGCTCTTAGTGTTTCGTGAAGTTATTTTAGAATATACATAATTCGTGTTCTCTTAGGATTCCGCGAGACGTTGACATTATTGACTTGACACGGATCCGTCGCTGTTCAATAAATAAAGGTAAAAGTAAAAGATGCGCTGTTAATTCTCAAGAAGTTGTTTGAAATTATAATTCGCACCGTTAGAATTATAGAGAACCAACCCAAAAATATATTTTTTGGAAAACGTCGAATACAGTTTTCAAACCGAAAAGACTTACGAGAAAGGGGACGGAGTGAAAAAGACTATCCATCGGATAATTTTGTCCCTTTATAAGCCACTTTTGGTTATTTAATTTTTATGAGGCGCTGAAAGGAGTCGTTATAGGTCGTTGAATTAAAGTCAAAATCCAAAATTTTGGAAATAGGTCTCTTTAATTCTAAAGGTGCGAATTGTTTTATCTATATATTTTTTACCCAGAAAGTCATTGGGATAATTTATTATTAGTTATTAAAGCAATCTTAAGATTATTCTCATTGATGTCTATTACCTTGCTTTAAATTTGAAATTTGAACAAATGGTAGGCAGTAGTTTGGCTGTGCCCCTTGCATTGCTGAGGTCCATGGGCGACAGTAACTACTCACCATGAGTTGAACCGTATGCACGTCTGCCTAGAAGGGTAATAAAAAAAAGTTCGAAACTGCCTACCTTTGAGTGATTGATTAAAATCCATTGATATTTTAATATCTTGTAATGTTTCAATAAAGAAAATTAGTTACGCGAACAATTCGTGACTTCAGATTTGCATTTTCTGATAGCCTTGACTGAGCAGACACGCCATACAGAACTGATCATTTATTTCTTGAATCGTATCTAACCTCTGTGTCTATGCAGGGAAATAGTTTATCTCTGTGTACCGCACGGTCTTGTTAAATGTAATGAAGAAAATGCAGACGAATTATTTAACAAAAAAAACCAATTCGTTTTATGATCTGATAGATCACATATCAATTAAAGTTAAATCTTACCGATGCCATTCACACGTTTACCATATCAGCGTGCTTAGTGCGAGTTTTTTAACGTTCTCGATAACGTAAAAGTTAACTCAAACTTGTATGGAATTGGAAAGGTTGCCTACGTTTGTCGCTAGGGGCGCTGTTCTAACTCCATACAAATTTGAGTTAACTTTTACGCTATCGAGAATATATTTTTGCCGCGAACTAGTTATGCATCTTGTTTTGAGGTTATTACAGCTGTTATTACAAGACAATTGGGATCATTAATTACCCATTAAAATTGAGATTGCGACCTGTTTCTTTCAAGTTGTATATTGTCTGTGTGCACGAGCTATTTTTTAACAGCCGTAAGCTATCATTCGGCTGTGACCTGACTCACCCATTTACATAAAGTTGTGATAGCACAGGAGTTTATTATTGTTTTAGCAGTTACCAAAATATTAGTTGCTGCCATAATTTCGCTCATCAAATGTATCCGCTGTGTTTGTGAGGAGCCCATGTTCCTGTATATACCTTTGAGTTTTTGAAGTTTGAAATTAGTTTTCTGAGGGAAAACCGCGGCAAACGGCTTCGTTATTCAATAACGTAAGGTTGCGGTTATCTTTGCTAATGAAATCTATACTAATATATAAATCTACAGTGGTTTTACGGATGTTCCGTTATAACTACTGAACCATGCATCCGATTGACTTGAAACTTGATATCCATGTAGAAAATATATGTACTTAATGGATAGGCTAATGTTTATATGAGTGTTGGAATGACAATAAATACCTTATAATGTTAATTTTAAATGCCCAGGGATGCGGGCGATTACGGCTAGTTTACTAATAAATATAATTTAAAGCATTTAGTTAT